GTGAGCTTTCAACGTGAACTCCGCTTTCGAATACAGGAATAAAGCATGAAGCACTTGGAGTAAATCAATCCCTTAACAGGATACATCGATCTGTTCCCGCTATGAAGTTCAATAACGTGCGATGTGGCCTATACAAGCCTATGTGCAAGTTGGTGTTTTTATGCAACTAGACGGGTTTCTTCTTAACTAACATGGCTCGACGGATGGAAGGGGTACTGTTCTGGGCAAGAACCGATCCAGAATTTGACCCCCTCCCTTATTGAGCCCTATGTAAGCGATGCCAGTTGCTACCTAGGGTCAAATTGGGGACGGAGTCAAGCTACCTCTGCTATAGGGGTTACTACCAGGATGAGTCGCTCGACCCTGACCAGTTTCTCTTCTTAGGATGGGCCATGTATGGGATTTCCACTGGAAAACGTAATAGGCTTTGAATGCGTGCTTTGCTTACATAACTACCTCTAGGGTTCGCTGAAGCTTAGTCGCGCTTTTATCTTCCAATATAAAATTCGTTATCGAGTAAGGGACATCGGTGGTATGGAGAAGGTCGATTGCGGGACGTTTAGTTCTTCTCATGATTCAGATCACCAGAGTTGCGCGATGCTAAGGTGTGATCTGGGCTTAGACTTAGGCTTGTTAAAAACCAAACAAGGTGTGCTGATCTAAGAGACCTGACTTCAGGAGAAAAACTGAAATACACCCGGATTGATGTAAGCAATATTGGTTCTAGGGTTATTTTCTCAGGTCATAACGCCTCATATGGGTCTAGCGAACTGTTCTACCCTAAATCCCGTCAAAAAAATTGAAAAAAAAAACTAGAGACCGGCACTCTTCCAAGAGGAAACCTAGCTCGACTGTGATGGGACTGGTTATGAGAGGTTTTGCTATGAATGAAATCAGTTATCCCTGGCCAATGGTACCGCGGAAGGTAGCCAAAGGTGCCATTTTTGTCTAATCTCCGACGCAATTGACATGCGCTCCAGCTGCTGAAGAAAGCCACTGGAATTATCTCATTCTCTTTGTTCAGCTCGCCTACGTCATCGCAAAGCGAGGCGCAGGTGATTGTTCTTGGAATGCGGTCTCTCAGTGTCGAGTGCTTCCTCGGCGAGTTCCCACTTCGACCGCCCCCTCCCGCTTCCTCTCACCCTCTCTCAACCGCCCTCCCGAATATTCCTCCAATCGTTTCTACAGCTGTCATTATCTCGGCACCGATTTAGAGGGACCGTGCCAGGGTACGCGATTACCCGACATCGAAAAAATGCCCATTTATTCGGCATTCCAGAAAATTCTCCAGAAAGGTTTAGATCGACCATGAGAGCAGATCAATACGCATTTTTGTATTCCTATTTTCCTTAAACCGCTTCTTCAAAGAAAGACGATAATCTGATTGATCAGGCCCAGATTGCGCAGTGGATTCGGCTATCATTCTGGATTGCAGAGATATTTGGATGCGTTCCTGGCCTATACAATAACGATTTGGGGAAAACTTATGGTTCTGAGAAATGAACTTTGGCACTATTGCAAGGTAGGGGGCATTGTACTGTACATCTAAGATCTTCCGCCTGGAATCAGGCCAAGCCTCAAGCGATGGAGGCGATACACCAGGGTGCGAGAGCGAGTTCCAACGTCCCTCAGAGCTTCTGCCCCTCTTAGGCCTAGTCCTTGAGGATGTTCCCATATCTTGTGATAGCATTTTATCATCAAACGAGCATCAACCGAGCAGCGATCAAGCCATAAAATCCCAAATTTCCCTCACCCATGTGAGCTCAACCACGTAGAGTTGCGTGGTCGGTTTAGCCTCAACCGGCCTTGATCCGCATATCGTGCCTACTGATGACGCCTCCTGCCCAGCAACTGCTCTGCCTTTCTTATCACGGCGTGATAACTCACAAGTGATATCAATCGCCTCCAAGGTGTCGAATGAAATGGAATCGAAGGTGTGACGATGCAGGAATGGCAGCTTGTTGTTGTTGATGAACAGCTTGTGAAGAGTCATGCCATCGAATGCTTTGACGTCGATCTGGAAAAATGCCAATTTTTGAATAGTTCAAATAAATAAAAATTACAATGCTAAACAAAAATAAACAATAATACCTTTTCAATGAGATTGTGGTCAGCGGCAAGGACCAGCAGAGTTCGTGGCAGATCGTGTTCACCAATGGCACGAAGCTGATTACCCGATACGAGTAGTGTTGTCAAGCGTCGAAGAGGTTGCAAGTAGGACTGTCCACCTAAATGGGCATATTTATTATACCTATACATATTGCTATATGCTGTAAGACAGATAGTGGAGCTATCGCAGGATGCGGGGGCATTTTAGTGGCAATACGTTTCAAACTACGTGAATATCCTCTCTTTGTAAGAAACGGGAGTTAGCATAAGCTTCAGAGAGACTCAGGGTGAGCGAGAAATCTCCAATTGCGGGATGTGACTTTAAGTTCCCAAAGATGAGCTAAAAGGACCTGCTCCAAGTGGATGCCTGTGAGGCAGGAATAGTTACATAGTACATATCTATAATACCTGAAGAAAAAGGCATATCGCGCCTTCCCCTTGATATTTTCCATGCCAAAGATTGGAGTTGGATAGCTGGGCTCATAGCTACTGGTAGGCTGGGCCAAAGGAGTGCAGCCGGAGGGATTTGCGTGAAATCTGCACCACTAGATCGAGTACAAAGGCTCTTAGGTTTGACAATTTGCTTATAAATTCGTCGGGCGCTGAACCAGTGTTAATGAATGGGCTCGATGATCATCCCGGGAAGTACTGAGATGTTCAATCTTGGTTACGCACAGCCAGGTTACGCAAAATTGTTTGCAGCCCTATTCTCACTTTTTTCTGGTCGCTAAGCTGACCTAATGGCGTTAAGGCGCCTTTTTCAGGGATACGTATCCAGAAAAACTTAAGCACTGACCTTTTGTAAGAGTGGTCAGTTGATTATTTTGCATTGCCAAGACGTTGAGGTGTTGGACCGGAGAGAATGCTCGTTGTGAAATCTGAAAGAAATTACAGTGAATACTCCTGAGAATCAATAAAATAAACATTTTTCTAAGTCTCTAAAAATAACCTTGCTTACCTAATGTACAAAAAACTTATTCAGCCGTCGAATCTTTGTAAATATAAATTCAATCGATCAATAAGTATCAAAGACGGGGAAGATTACCGTCTCGAGGAAGTCACGATGCGCCATGCAACCCCATGTCGCCAAGAATTGGTGAGACAATGGATCGTGCAAGAACGGGACTTACTGAATATGCATGTAGAAAGAATTGGCTTAACAACCTTAGAACCCTGACCTGTGTTTAATTTTTATCTGCTGTTTTTGGCCGCAGTTCGCCTTGCGAATGTTTCACAAGAATGCTGGGTTGTGAACAAAACTTTCGCCCCAGAAGGGACGAAAGAGCTAAAGGGTCCGGTTAGCAAAAGGTGCGGGTTCGAGCCCCGTGTGGGGCAAAAGTTTTGTTCACAACCCAGCATTCTTGTGAAACCTTAGAACCGCGTAAATCAAAATCTCATTACTCCCTTGGGAAAGAATCTCACGGACAGACCTTCACAAACATCACTTTTTCAGATAGAACAACTGCAACTTGTCACCCTAAGATAGGGATTGCACAAAAAAGGGCGCAGCACCCATTTTGTCAGCAAATTCTTTGTTGCAAAAGCTGATCAAACACACTCTCCTTTTCTAGCCCACCATTCAATTGGGCTTATCCGAACTGTGATTTCTATTGAGCAAAACCCCAGTTCAAAGGTCGTGGGGTAACAGAGCTCGATAATTGAAGTGGGGCCGGGAAATTGACTAAAAGGTAAAAAAAATGTACGATGATGCCCTTGACAGAGACCCCATCTCTTTCGCGTCGGAATGAGCAGAGGGCGTACCTGGGCGATATCTTCCTTGGATCATAACCCATATCCTGTGCGAGGAAGCCAGCGAAGGATTACGTCTACAGGATTTCAGATTTGCTAACTCATAAGGTTCTAGCCGCTTTTCGCGTGCTGTTTGCAAGTGCTGGTATTCAGGATCATTTTAATTTTACGAGATGGCGGAAGTGGTGTAGTGACAAGTGGCGCGCTTACCACGCGAGCGGTCCGGGATCAAATCCTGGGTCGTGAGTCGCCCGGGCCAACCAAGCCTTCCATCCCTCCGGGGTCGGTTAATTGGTACCAGACTTGTCTGGGAGGATAAAAACACTGACTTGTACATCGGCTGGCCCCCGCAAGTCATTGTATAGGCCACATCGCATTCAAACGCCACTACGAATGTACAAATGGAAGTAGAATGCGTGCCGCATCCCAAAAAGGGATTGATCAACGGCAAATGCTTTATCCTTTATGCGTTTATTCTACGCTTGGAAATTCAGAATTAGGAGAGCCCAGCTTGAGCCAAGTAAGATTATAATATGAATCCAAGTGGATCTCCCACGGCTTTGAATTGAACTGAACTATGCTTCATTTACTAAAGGGATCTCAATCGAAATTCTATACTCTCATTGGCTCGTTACACTTCGTTTTTTTAATGAAAAACGTTTCGCAAGGCACTTCCATATTGTAGATTGCAGGGCCAGTTCAAACACCTCCGACGGATAAAGTTACTGGATCCACAACTTGCTAATATGGGGACATATTTGCGACTGCAAACGCTCTAGAAACTCGGAATTCACGCTGAAAAGGCAACCCATTTCCAATTAAGTTAAGGATGGTCGTAATAACCAGCCCAGGGAAAAACCATGAGAAACGGCCTGGAACTCGAGGAATGGTACCCGTTCCTTGCCCTTTGACTTCCACATTGATGCCACTCTCATAGTGTCCTGTTCAAAGCGAACGCTCTCTCTACTGGTGCTACTGAGGGCTTACAAAGCTTACATCAGTCCATTATTAGAATATGGTACTGTCATATTTAATCCACATAAGGTAAAAATTTCTAAGGCACTGGAAAGGGTACAAAATAGTTTCACCAAGGAAGGTCCTTCTGAGGGTTGTGGGTTTCAAATATGATGAAACTCCAGATGGGGTAAGCTCGCATGCAACCTCACAATGCTTGTAAAGTTTAGGCATCGTAGGAGGGCGAAATTCGATTGAATACCAGCTGCTTTTCAAAATTCCATGGTATTTTGCACTTAAGTATAATAGTTACTTTCGAACTTAAAAATTCAGCTCACGAAGGTGGAGGCCCTAAGAAAATACTGTACGAGTAGCATCAACGGAACTGTTCGGCGCCATCTTCGTGAATAGGAACTATGTTTCGGAAGTTTCAGCACGACAGCCAGAAATTGGAGCTGCTATACGAAGTTATTACGCTTTCAGAGCAACCTTGGGAAAGTATATGACATTCTAGTTTTTAGTTCTGTTCATTTTTGCGTCCATTTTGTTACAGGTGCCGACTTAGAATGTTTCTCGTGCTTTTTGTCGCTTGTTTTTTTTTCTCTCAACATGGGTTATACCTATGCAATAAACAAGTACAACAAGTACTCACTCTGCTATGTCGGTGGGCGTGCCGCGTCAACTAGGGCACAGTAAGCCGTGCATACCCGATACGGCCGAGGTCAAATCTGTCGCTGCCAGTTGCACGTCGGTCCGCAACCCCAGGAGGTCCGCCTGTCGCCCAACTGGCCGATCTTCCCCTTCTTTGACCTTCGTTCTTATCGCAGGATTCTCCTTTAATCTTTCTTCCCTTGGTCTTTCATTCTCCCTTATCATACTTGCTCGACTCATTGTCCACTCTTTCCACTAAGGGGAGGCAAGGACTTATATGAGGCGATTGCAGCTGTTTAATTTCCTTTTTTTCATGAGGCAAGCATTTGGAAATAGCTGCTCCACCCTTGGAGACTATATGCTATTACCTATTTGTTACTACTGGATCATATACTGTAAAAAACCGGTTTGCTGCGTGAAATATGCTTGAAGTAAACCGCGATGCTCACCTGGCTGATGTTGTTAGCGGCTATGGTGAGGCTTTCGAGTCGTGTGCTCCTGGCCAGTCCTGATAAATCTCCGTCAGCGATTTCCGAGATCGAATTTCGATCCAATGACAAAAGTATCAATGATGGAAGGTCCTCTAGAAAAATTATACATATCACTTCCCAACCAACCACGTTACCGTAGTCGACTTACCGTAGACTGACTCTTTTCAGAGAATTGATGCTGTTGTTGTTGAGGAATAGTTTCTGAAGATTCTCCAAACCACGCAGTTCAACCTGAAAAGTGAGTCGAACTCAAGTAGCGTGAAAGCGAAGCAAAGGCTGATGCCAAAAGTGAAACTGATTGACTCTTAATCAGTCCAGGACAGTGTCAACCGTGCATTTGCTCTGTTCGAACACGAGGGGGGGGGGGTCGCAGTTGTGGTTTTGGGAAGAGGAGAGGGTCGCAGTTAGGGGTTGTTGAGTGGGATGAGTCGGATTAGCAATTCGCTGAGCAAATGGTGAGGCGATCAGATTGGTTTTGGTTGTATGAGGGGTTCGGTGGATGTAAATGGCACAGCGTGAGGAAGGAGGATAGGTGGCGGTGGGAGTCGCATTGAAACCCTCCTAGAGGAGGGGGTCGCGAAATTTTTGAACCGCGAGCCTCACGGTTGAGCCTGGTCCAGGATGAGCCACGCATCAGGACGTTCATCAAAATTGCAGACGCAGATCATTTGGTTCATAGATTGACAAGCAAAGCCAAGTGCATGTTCATAGCAAGGTTTTTACTCTTACGATAGTTCTGATGCCAAAAACAGACACTGATGCCGAAAACAGACTTCTCAAGGATCGAAAATATGGTAAGCATAAACGGGATCCGATCCAAAGACCGTGTTAACGATGACAGCGCCCTTTGCTCCCGCCTTGGCTCTGGTTCCTTTTTGAGCAACTCACATTGGTGAAATGATTGGTGCCCAAATCAAGAGTTCTGAGCTGTTTCAGGTTGGCAAATGCTGACCAATCAATGCTTGTGATTTGATTATTCTGTAGATTCAACACTTCCAACGAGTCCAAACCTTTGAACATGTTCCTAAAGAAAAATTGATTTGAGCGCTGGCGAAAGTTAACCCCAATAAGGGCTACCAAAGCACAAGGAATAAGTCTACCTTGTAATGACGCTGATCTGATTGCCACTTAAACTGAGCTTCTTCAAGGACGTTAACTTGGCAAAAGTGCCGTCTTGGATGGTGGTGATGTCATTGTCGTTGATGGACAGTTCCCGAAGCTCTGGCGTCAAATCGAAAACGCCAGTGACCAACGAGCTGATTCGATTTCCTGAATTTATCCCTTTATGGTCACAAATGGGCAGGTAGCTATAACCATGAAGCTCACCTGACAGATCCAATTCACGAAGACTGGTCAAACCCTGGAGCATCGATCGGTTCACACCTTTGAGGTGGTTGTTTCGCAAATAAAGACCGTGTAGTCGTGGACCGATGGTGCCGAGCGCGTTCTCACGAAGTAATGCCAGGAAACTTCGCTCAATCGACAGATATTTTGGTTTGACCTGAAATCCAAGGGTTATTAGCAACTCAAAAATGAATCTATCAGTCGATAACAGTTGAAGAAATGTTTCTTTGATTGTTCCTATTGTCATTACAGGGCGCAATGGTGGTGATGGTATAGTGGCAAGAGGCGCTCTTCTTGTCGTGCCCAAGTGCCTGGGATAAAAATTCGGCTAGACTCCCGCCCAGGCCAATCAGACCTTCTATCGTTCCTCGGTAGCATGAACGGTACAAGAGCTGTCTGGCAGGATAAAGCGACCGATGTTCATCGACTGACCCCGCGCAGATGCTGTTCGGGCCAATTTCAGTCCAAAATGCCACCACGATTCTTAGATCTGCTTTTCAAAATCTTCCATGGGTATTTTGCACTTAAATGTAATAGTTTACTTGAAGTTAGAAATTCAGTCACAAGGGGAGGCCCAAGAAAATACTGGTAGGAGTAGCAAAACGGAATGTTAGGCGCCATTTCTTCGTGAATAGGACATGTTCGGAGTTTCACAGACTGCTCAAATTGGGAGCTCCTACTGGAAAATTAAGTTCTTTCAGAGCAACCTTGGAAAAGTATATGACATCTTAGTTTTTAGTTTTGTTCATTTTTGCGTCCATTTTGTTACAGGTGCCGACTTAGAATGTTTCTCGTGCTTTTTGTCGCTTGTTTTTTTTTCTCTCAACATGGGTTATACCTATGTAATAAACAAGTACAACAAGTACTCACTCTGCTATGTCGGTGGGCGTGCCGCGCCAACTGCGCCAAGAGTGAGCCATGCTAGATCGCCGAGGTCAAATCTTTCGCTGCCAATTGCGCGTCGGTCCGCACCCTCAGGAGGTCCGCCTGTCTCCCAACTGGCAATTTTCCCCTTCTTTGACCTTCGTTCTTATCGCAGGATTCTCCTTTAATCTTTCTTCCCTTGGTCTTTCATTCTCCCTTATCGTACTTCCTCGACTCATTGTCCACTCTTTCCACTAAGGGGAGGCAAGGACTTATATGAGGCGATTGCAGCTGTTTAATTTCCTTTTTTTCATAAGCAAGCATTTGGAAATAGCTGCTCCACCCTTGGAGACTATATGCTATTACCTATTGTTACTACTGGACCATATACTGTAAAAACCGGTTTGCTGCGTGAAATATGCCTTGAAGTAACCCGCTCACCTGGCTGATGTTGTTAGCGGCTATGGTGAGGCTTTCGAGTCGTGTGCTCCTGGCCAGTCCTGATAAATCTCCGTCAGCGATTTCCGAGATCGAATTTCGATCCAATGACAAAAGTATCAATGATGGAAGGTCCCTAGAAAGAATTAGACACGTCACTTTCCAACCAACCACGTTACCGTAGTCGACTTACCGTAGACTGACTCTTTTCAGAGAATTGATGCTGTTGTTGTTGAGGAATAGTTTCTGAAGATTCTCCAAACCACGCAGTTCAACCTGAAAAGAGAGTTGAACTCAAGTAGCATGAAAGCGAAGCAAAGGCTGATGCCAAAAGTGAAACTGATTGACTCTTAATCAGTCCAGGACAGTGTCAACCGTGCATTTGCTCTGTTCGAACGAGGGGGGGGGTCGCAGTTGTGGTTTTGGGAAGAGGAGGAGGGTCGCAATTAGGGGTTGTTGAGTGGGATGAGTCGGATTAGCAATTCGCTGAGCAAATGGTGAGGCGATTCAGATTGGTTTTGGTTGTATGAGGGGTTTGGTGGATGTAAGTGGCACAGCGTGAGGAAGGAGGATAGGTGGCGGTGGGAGTCGCATTGAAACCCTCCTAGAGGAGGGGGTCGCGAAATTTTTGCACCGCGAGCCTCACGGTTGAGCCTGGTCCAGGATGAGCCACGCATCAG